GTCCAGCTAGCCGAGCTAACCCACAGAACCTTGAGAAAGACAATGACCATGTTAAGCCATTAAGTTTGGGCGTGGCTTGTCACACATGCAGCCTTAGGTAACCAGAACTGGCTATAAACTTCATTTTTCCACTACATGAGCCACGAAGATGGCAGTGTGTTTTGCAGTATTGTTCTGAAAACAACAACAAAAATGGTGCCAGTGCTTTTTGCTGGATGCCAACTGGTACCAGAAGACCATGGAGCTGTCTGCCGACGGGAGGACCCAGACTGCTCTTTGCTGCAGGCATAGTGCTTGGGTGGATGTTGAAATGAAAGCCAGTCACAGGATGGCGCATCTAGAAGGTTGAGAGTCCCTGTCTGGTTTGAGGAGCACCTGGAAAGAGTTGCCTGCCGGGCAGTGCGAAATTGCTTCTTCTGGGGGGATGAGGGTGGGAGGGCAGGATACAGTCCTAGACACCATAATTAGAGGATGTTGTTCCAGAAGTCAGTATACCCAAGTAGAGGCTAAAAATAGTTGTGCATTCTTTGCTGAGCCCAGCTGCTACCAGGGCATTTGGCTCCCAGCCTTGGGCTCCCCCCACCCCCTGCCCCACCTTCATTTTCATGCGTTTCCTCCTTTCGATTCCTTTAGCACAAGAACAGTGCATTCTTTTGGCTTCCTTGAAATCCATGTAGAATCATTCCTTTCTTGAAGGCTGTTGGGGCATCTATTTAACTGGGAGATGCTAGAAATACGCCCCTTCGTACAGAGAAAGTAACCATCCAATAACACATTAGCATAGGCTGAAAAAGCTAAAACATGTAAGATAAAGATTTTGAGGTTGATAGAATCAAAGAAGAGGTGTAGAGAGGTTTTGACTTGGCCAGAGGTCACATAATTAGTATTAACTGGGGAGCTGGGGTTTGAGTCCACTAATTACTCGTTCCTAAGAAGGGTGCTGCACATGGAGTGTTGTGTTAGGGTCCTTATTAATGGTGTCTTACTTTTTATCTGGGTGCAGTGGGTACGGTGGGCAGAGGAGGAGGTAGATCTAGGAACCTCCTGAAGAAGAAGCACCTAATAACCACTTTAAGGTCACAGGTGAGCTTGGTTGTAGCAGAGGGCGTCGAAGGCAGAGGGGGGAGCAAAATGGAGTCCAGATAGCCCGTGATGGCTTTGACAATGCATGAGGGTAGTTCAAGTATTTCCTCAAGTATTATCTTCTCATGTCCTCCTATGAGAATAACTTTGCAAGCCAACAGAGGAAATAGAAGTGAATCTCTGTCTTTTTCTCTCCTCTCCCCTCCCCCCATTGCATGCGTGTGCACCCTCATTACCTTTATCCGCATATATGTGATACACTCTTCTTCACGTATACAACATACATGTTAGTGCCTTGTCCAGCTCTCCTTTATGAGACCAGTGTACACATTCCCCGACTGCTGTAAATGTTGGCTGCTAACGGTTCATGGCTGATCTCCTTCTCAGCACCAGGAGAAATCATTCCCTCCGTCCTGGGGACAGCTCAGTGCCAAAAATGAGGGGAAAAGGAAGAACAAGACTGACTTTGTCTCAAGGTGGAGACTACTCTCAGATAAAACATCTGTTACGCTCCTATCTGTTTATTCTTCTCTGATGAGTCAGACGAAGGCTAGACTTTATCTGAGATCATACCCTTGTTCAACACTTTCTCCCTTTCCATCTTGTTTTGCTGGGCCCTAGAGGTTTGTCTCAGAAAGCACTCCCTCAGTCACATGCTTCTGAATCCCTGTCTCAGGCTCTGCTTCCAGAGAACCTGATCTGTACACACATACACACACACGCACATGCCCACATACATACGTGCATATGCATATACAACATCTTTATTTTGCAGATAACAAAACTGAGGCTGCTGAAGTTAAAAAAGAAAAGAAAAGCCTTGGCCAAGTTCACATGAAATGCATTAATGTCAAAGCAATGACTAGAAACCTTTTATCCGGAATGCAGATCTTGCCTTTGTTCCAAACTAGATTGGCTGTAGCATATTATAATCCTTCATTAATTCATGAGTTTTTGGGGAATTGATTATATATGGAGGAACCTGTAATTTCCTTTTGTCGATCCTGCAAGGTCTGTTCTAAGTAATCTCATCCCAGTTGATTTCAACGAGGAAGGGGAATATGGGTAACTTAACTAGAAGCCGGGTCGCAGTTTTCAACAGGCTTTGCTGTGTAGAGTGAGGTGGGAAATGTGTGGCACGGAGATGCTATCTCTTCGGGGTCAAACATCTCTCAACCCGCAACACATGGAAATTGTGGAATGGGGCTGTCGGAAATTTTACACATTCATAAATATTGATAGGCTGACAAAGAATTTTAATTTTGAGATGTCTGACTCTGATTATTTCTGAAACATAAACACCTTTTAATTCTCCCCTTAGGCCAAAGATCAAGCTTTGGCTGTCGTCTTTTAGATAAGGCATCTGACTGTTCGATGTAATCCAGATTCGTACACATTTCTGCCCAGGGAAGCTAACCATTCAGCTGTTAAAGGAATGAGAAAGCTGGCTCTTGCCTAGGACCTCCTTGTTTATTTTGCCCAGGAATCTCCCACCTTGGGTGGGGGTAGGTAGGGTTCTCCTGAGTAACCCTTTCCTTTCTGTTTTCAGATAAATTCTGATTTTCATTTTTTCTAAAAGATTTCATTCATTTATCTGAGAGAGAGGGAGTGCACAAGCCGGGGGAGGGGCAGAGGGAGAGGGAGAAGCGGACTCCCCTCTGAGCAGGGAGCCCTCGCACACAGGGCTCGACCCCAGGCTGAGGAGATCATGACCTGAGCCAAAGGGAGCTATTGAACTGACTGACCCACTTGGGAGCCCCATCATTTTAATGGTTTTTAATGAAAAAACAATATAGTATGGTAAGAACACTTCACACATAAGATCTGGGCAGATTTTTTTTTATCACTGACCAAACAAAACAGGGTTTGTAACTACAGATGCAATGTTGGGCAGTAGGTCTCTAGAACTCGTGCATCTCGCATTGCTGATAGTCTGAACACCATTGTGCTCTTTGCTTCTGTGAGTTCGGCTATTTTCAGAGACCTCATGTAAGTGGACTCAAAAATATTATAAAAACAAACAAAAGCTGTGCTGGTGAGGGTGTGGAGATATCGGAGCCTGCGTGCACTGTTGATGGGAGCACAAGATGGTGCCAGGTCACGGAAAATGGCATGGCGCTTCCTCGCAAAATCTTAGAGGACTTTGCTTTTCAAATGCAACATTTGAGCAACTTCTCACTGCATTCGGATTGGAATCCAAACTAATAGCCATGGTCAGTACCATCCTACCACCTCATCTCCCCATCCTCTCATCTCTCAGTCTCCTTGTTCACGGCTCCAGCCACAGTGGTCTTCGTTCCATTAACACCCTGTCGGTCTCCCGTGTGGGGTCTTTGCTCATGGTGTCCCACCCTCCTGGGGTGCCCTGCCCCCACACATGCTCTCTCTCTCGTTAGCTCATTCCCTCACAGAAGCCTTTCCTGACATCACTGTTAATTCATGGAAGAGCGCTCTACTTCATATTGTCCTTCAGGAGTTTTATCAGAACGTGCACATACTCATCTGCTTCTTTAGTTGTTCAAAGTAAGGATCTCACCAGTCTTGGTTACATCCTCTGTTCTCTTTCCTGCTCACCTTTGGGTTATTTGAACATTTAAAAAATTGTCGATTTTTTTTAACTCTCTTTTTAAATCTTTTATCTATCCTATCTTTGTAAGGTTTTTAAGTTGTTGCTTTAGGGGATATCTAGCTAGCTAATATAGCTTTCCACTATCTACTGAAAATCAGCAGCTTACCATTTCCAGTGGAACGTAAACATCTTTCCACCATTTGTATCATATTCATGTGGACATTATACTGTATGCAGCTCTGTGCTCCCCCCAGTTTATGTCATAATTGTCTCCTATGGCACACCTCTGTGTATTGAAAACACCAGTAGACAATGTTTTAATTTTCTTTAATTAACTAATTAATTAAAAGATTAATTAATCTTTTCTTTAATTTTCAAGTGTATTTTAAGGGATTCAAGAGGGTCTATTAAGTTTTTCTTTGCTTTGCTTGTTCCTCATTATTGTTATTCCAGATTTCTATCTGGTATTGTTTCTCTTCCAGAAGAATTCCCTCCTTCCTTCCTTCCTTCCTTCCTTCTTTCCTTTTTTCAAATAACATTTTTTAAAAAACATTTTATTTTTTATTTGAGGGCGGGGTGCATGGGGCAGAGGGATGGAACAGGGGCAGAGCAGGGAGCCTGATGTGGGACTTGATCCTGAGACTCCAGGATCATGACCTGCGCTGAAGGCAGTAGCTTAACCAATTGAGCCACCCCGGCACCCCCAGAAGAATTTCTTCTAGCAATTTTGTTAGAGCAGGTCTGTTCTAAATGGTTTCGTTTAGTTTTGCTTTTCCTAGTCTGAGAATGTCTTTATATCACTTTCATTTCTGAAAAGTATTTTTGCTTAATAGAGAATTTGCATTGATGGTTAATTTATTTCAAAACCTTAAAAATATTGTGCCACTTCCTTATGGTCCCATAGTCTCTAATGAGAAATCTGTAGTCATTTCAGTTGTCGGCCTTTTTTAGGTAATGATTTTATTCTTTGTCTCTACTTGTTAACATTTTGGAGTTTCCTCAGGTATGTCTTTCACCAAATTTGGGAAGTTTTCAACCATTATTCTTTCAAAAAATTTCAGTACGGGGCGCCTGGGTGGCTCAGTGGGTTAAGCCGCTGCCTTCGGCTCGGGTCATGATCTCAGGGTCCTGGGATCGAGCCCCGCATCGGGCTCTCTGCTCTGCAGGGAGCCTGCTTCCTCCTCTCTCTCTGCCTGCCTCTCTGTCTGCTTGTGATCTCTCTCTGTCAAATAAATAAATAAAATCTTAAAAAAAAAAGTGTTTAAAAAAAATTTCAGTACTATACTCTTTCTCGTCTTTCTGCAACTCTGGTCAAATGAATATGAAAATTTTTGTCCTTATCACATAGGTCCCTGAGGCTCTGTTCCATCTTTATCTCCAAGTTCAGATGGGATAATTTCCATCAATCCACCTTCAAGTTCATGGACTCTTTTCTGTCGTCTTCATTCTGCCACTAAGTTCACACAGTAAGTTTTTATTTTGGTTGTGTTTTTCAGTTCTAAAATTATTTGATTCTTTATATTTTCTACTTCTTTGCTGAGAATTCCTGTATTCCTTGGACTCCAAAGTATTTAAAGGTATTTGCTCAAGTATTTTATACCAGCTTTTAAAAGGTCTTTTCTAGATAATCTTGACATTTGTATCACCACTGTATTGGGGTCTGGCAGTTAATTGTCTTTGCTCATTTGAGTTTATTTTTTCCCTCATCTCCATATGCTGTGTAATTTTGAATTGTATCCGAACCTTTTTAGTGTTATATTAAGAGACTCTGAGTATTTCTAAAGTCCTTGGAGAATGTGGATGTTTTATTATGTTTTTAGCCACTGACCTGTTTGTGGTCAAACCCCCAGTGCTGTGGGCTGTGATTCTAAGTTTCTCCAGTGTCCAAAGCTCTCCAGTGTTACGTGGATCTGTCCTGCATGTGTTCCACCTAGTGGCGGGTCTGGTCCTGGAAGGTGGTTTGTTCGTGGATGGATGTGTTTGCTGTGGTGAATGGGATCAGATCCAAGCATGCACTGTAACAGGGGTGAGCCCAGTGTTCATAAACACATTTATGGGTCTGTTTTCTGGAGTTCCCCCCCCCTTATGTTCTGTACAGTGGTTTTGGGTTCCCTGAGGGCACCTCCCTTTGGTCCTCTGAGTAGAAAAGGGGATTAGTGACTTCAGTCGGCTGTGTCTGGACCATGTGGGAGGACAGAGAGAGAAAAATGAAGTTCGCCCCCCACCCTCTTGGGATTGCATCTCCACCAAATTGACAGAGACATGGCTTTCCCCCAGTCTTGACTCCATGGGCTGCTGTGATTGCCCCCTTCCTCCGCCCTTACAAAACTGATGGGGGGTGGGTGTGAGAAAACAGAGAAATGAAGGAGGAAACAAAACGGCACATTCCTGTACTCTCTTTTGGAGTTACAAGTTGCGTGTTGAGGCCCTCGGGCTGGAAGGAGGTGGCTTCTCTTGAAGGTTCTTCTGTTCAGTCCTGACATTGACTGCTGGGTCTAGAGCGTTGAGTTCAAGCCAAGGTATGCTGGAGGAAGAAAACATGGAAAACGCAGCCCTGGTTCCGTGACATTTCAGAGTCGGATCTTCTTCCCCAGTCTGCGTGCCACTGTTTACTTTTCTGAGTCCTCAAATTGCTGCTTCTTGAATTCTGTCTGTGTTTCATAGCTATATGAAGTGGGAGAGATAGGGTGGGGAGGGTATTTCTTCCCCACTACCTGGAACCAGAACTCCTTAATAGTTAATTTAGGCACCATACATAACCTGGTATTATTACTACTCATCAATCCAAACAACAGCCCGATTTTGTCCTTGGGGAGCAGGAGGAAAGAGAGTACACCAGAAGACCTGTTGTACTTGGAAGCGTGAGACCTAAGTTCTAACCCCAGAGCTGTTGTGGGCCGGTCATGTAATCCTAGACAAGTGGCCATCTCTGGATCATTATGTTGACTATGAACGTTGTACTGTTCTCTTCCCAACTTGCGCCCCCAGCCAGGGTCATTGTGATGGTCAGATAAGAGAATGGAGGTGATCATACTTGGAAGTACAAAGTGGTAGCAGAGAGAATGGAGTTTCCTCCTGTGACCCACGGAAAGGGACGAGGGCAGTATTCTTGGACCAGGGCGGAAGCTGGCACCTCTGCAGAGATGGGGGGCCCCAGCAGTGGGTCTGTTCTATTGACCTGCCTCCCTAGGACACTGTCTTCCACTCATGTACTCTCTGTAACATCATTCCCAGGATTTGAATTTCTGTTCTCGCTCAGATTTCTGGGCAGCATAAACAGCACTGCTGGTGATCAAAATAGACCAGAATTCAGAGATGGGGGAGAGTATAATATAATGAGGGTGTGGTAATTGTATCCAAGTGGCATACTTCTGAGTGGATCAGCACTGATTAGTCTTAGATGATATACAAACCTCTAAGAGCTTAGGATTATTAAGAACATGACTAGCTTTCCTAATTTTCAATGTATATTATTGGGAATATCTCCAAAGTATCCTTTGAATTACTAATACTAAATGGAAATCAACCGTAATAAAAAATGATCAGGGAGTAACTATATCAAGTTTGGTATATACACTCATAGAATGTGATATTATGAACTCTTAATTAAAATCATCGACTCCCATTGAGTTTTTGAGAACACGGATCGACCTGTCAGTTCTTCTCCTAGGTCACACAGCCTTCCTTTTCCATCACCACAGAATGTAGTGTTTGATGGTGCTGACCTCGAAGAACTGTTAAAAAGCAATCTAGAAGAAAACAATTCTGTTTTCACAAAAAGTCTGCCACTAATTTTTCCCCACTCATATATGACATCAGTAAGGAAAATAAATTTGCCCCATGCCCATCGTGCAGCATTCCAAAGCTTGGACTTGACTGTGATCTTGGCTCTTTCTTTGACTGCTCTGCTATTTGTTTAACACTTAACTATGGATGAAAGTCTTACTTCGGAACATATTTCCTATCTTTGACACATTTTTCCTTTTTTCTCAGGAGTCCAGGCTAGGGAAATAGCCATAACTGAACATAGTCAATAATAATGATGATGATGATAATAATAATAGCCATAACTGAACATAGTCAATAATAACAACAACAACATTAATAATTAACAAACAGCCACTGCTCTTTGTATAGTAAACACTGCACTAAATGCCCTTTGGTAGGTATGGCTGGTATCAAGTGTGGACACAGTGTCATGGAGTAAACCGTTCCAATTGTTACGTAGAACGGAGAATGGCAACTCCTTCCCCAGTGCCATCACGCTGCGACCTCTTCTAGAAGCACATAGTTCAGCCGCACTTGGAACTCGTGGCAGAAGGCAGCATTTCATTTTCATTGCTGACTGAAGTTTTTAGTGAACATTAAAGATTAATGATGCCAGTGTCTTAAAGTCAATGAGAAGAAAAGGCCAGGACTCTGAAACATTTGTAAACAGTATAAGGCTTTGTACTGCGCAAATGGCCACAGACAGGGAAAGCTAATACCAACGCGGTAAAAACCAAGGGCTAACCTTTCATGGCGTGTCTGGTGCTGAGCTCCCAGCGTTTGATGGATGACTACCTCGTGCCAGGAGGTCACCGGGGATTGGCGGGGGCTTTCATGTGGTCGGGCAGCTGCGGGCAATCTGCGCGTACGGATTACCCAGCGGAGGGAAACGTCGATGTGTGCAGGCAGCACCACGTTCGGAGGGGGCAGTCAGAAAAGAGAGAAACGTCGAGAACCAGTGTACGTCCTGGGTGAAGTCTTTGTGGGATTTTCGACTTGATGGAATCAGCTCCTTGGCTTTTGATGTCTGCTCGAAGTGAGATCATTCTGTGTCTGGTCTGATACTTACGTGAGGGGTGTGAAGTTTCACTGTACATTATTCCTGTCATCGTCATAAGTCATCTGAGGTGGGCCCTTTTGCTGCCTTCTCCCTTGACGAAGAGGCTCGGAGAAGCCCAGTGGTTTGTCCAGGGCAGCAGAGCAGGTCGAGTGGCTGAGCTGGGACTTGAACTAAGTTCTGCCTGATTCCAAAGCTTGCATTGTCATGTAGCTGAAAGTGAGTCCTGGCTTCAGATGAATATAAAGCTTACTGCTTTCTCATATAGGACTATTGCCTTTTTTGAGGGGGTGGGGGAGGCCATTGGAGTAGGACAGGGTGTGTCTCTTGACTCTGAAATCCGAAAAGGGCCACATATTAACCTCTATTTCCCTTCTGCTTTTGGCTTAGTACCCCCAGTTGGATCAGAAATCCATTGAATGAGTTTCCCTTCATTGTTTTTGAGAAGGAAATGCCTGCTGAACTTTGACAGCAGTGTTCACGGTTGCCAGAGACCCTCAATTTATTATTCCTCTCTCAGGAGTCCTATGTAAGTTCCCTTTGAAAAGCGTCTCCTCATCAATATTAATAATCCCTTGATGCCGTGCTCATTTGTGTTGGTCAGCACGCCTTTGTGCGTATGAGCTAATTCCACCCTGAAATTTTTATGGGAAGCTGTCTACACATTAAGCACCATGTTGAGTGCAGGGAATATCAAAACAGTTGTCTCCCCTAACTTGATTTTCTGCAGTAGACCAAATACTGTCTCCATTTTACACGCAATTCTGTGCCTCTGCATAACGTGCTGTCCCCATCCTTCATGACCTCCATGTCCTCTCTTCTCCTCTGTCAAGGTGCTCAAGGTGACAGGCCCTGAAACACGACTTGCTCATTTTTTTTCTCCAAACTTTGGCTGATGTTCCATCTCGTCTTGATCTACTTTGCTGCCCCTTCTATATTTCCTCAAATCCAAGGTCCCATCTCCTCTCCACGATGGCACTTCCTCGCGAACCAGATGACCTTGTCCCGTTCTTCACCACATTGTCCGTGTTGCCGCCATCTTCTGTTTGGTACTTGGAGGATGGGGCTGTTGGATGCTAACACGCTTCTCCTCCCGTCTCTGCAGTTGGTTTCACGGCAGAGCTATGATAAGGGAAGGCAAAGACCCTTGATAGGTACTGTAAATAAATACATTAAAATTTTATTCAACATGTACAGTATTTGCTGGAAGGAACACTTGGAATAATGCAGAGACCTGTGCCAGATTTAACACCAAAATATGTATTGTTTAGCCAGAAAAATGTTGCTGCATGCATGAAAGAATTTTAAAACCTCAATTGCCAATATCTAAATATTGGGAGATGTGACACAGCAGACTGGACCTCTGGCTTCACTTGAAAAATCAGAAGTTCTGACAACACTGGGCTTATTTTTTGGGTCATGACCATCAGCTGAGGTTGAGAAGCGAGGGCCCCCGAGCCATGAGCCTCATACTCACCATTCTCCTGCAGCCCCCACTATGGCCTGTCCATCACCTCCTGGATATGGAGGTTGATGAACATGAGTTTGACATTCGCCGACTGGGCGTCCTGATGACTTCTTACACTGTTAAAATGAAGGTGAAGTATTTCTTGTTAACTCTGACTCTGTCTAAAGGGGAAG